TTGTAATGATGTCATCATTATTGTAATGTCATCACTATTGTAATAATGTCATAATTATTGTAATATTGTCACCATTATTGTAATAATGTCATCACTATTGTAATGTCATCACTATTGTAATAATGTCATCACTTCTGTAATAATGTCATCACTATTGTAATGATGTCATTACTATTGTAATAATGTCATCACTATTGTATTGATGTCATCACTATTGTAATAATGTCATCACTATTGTAATAATGTCATCACTATTGTAATAATGTCATCACTATTGTAATGATGTCATCACTATTGTAATGATGTCATCACTATTATAATGATGTCCTCACTATTGTAATGATGTCATCACTATTGTAATAATGTCATATCTATTGTAATGATGTCATCACTATTGTAATGATGTCATCACTATTGTAATGTCATCACTATTGTAATGTCATCACTATTGTAATGTCATCACTATTGTAATAATGTCATCACTTCTGTAATAATGTCATCGCTATTGTAATGATGTCATTACTATTGTAATAATGTCATCACTATTGTATTGATGTCATCACTATTGTAATAATGTCATCACTATTGTAATAATGTCATCACTATTGTAATAATGTCATCACTATTGTAATGATGTCATCACTATTGTAATGATGTCATCACTATTATAATGATGTCCTCACTATTGTAATGATGTCATCACTATTGTAATAATGTCATATCTATTGTAATAATGTCATATCTATTGTAATGATGTCATCACTATTGTAATGATGTCATCACTATTGTAATAATGTCATATCTATTGTAATAATGTCATATCTATTGTAATGATGTCATCACTATTGTAATGATGTCATCACTATTGTAATGATGTCATCACCATTGTAATGATGTCATCACTATTGTAATAATGTCATCACTATTGTAATGATGTCATCACTATTGTAAAAATGTCATCACTATTGTAGTGTCATCACTATTGTAATGATGTCATCACTATTGTAATTATGTCATAACTATTGTAATAATGTCATCACTTTTGTAATGGCATCATTATTGTAATAATGTCATCACTATTGTAATTATGTCATAACTATTGTATTAATGTCATCACTATTGTAATTATTCATAACTATTGTAATAATGTCATCACCATTGTAATAATGTCATCACTATTGTAATTATGTCATAACTATTGTAACAATGTCATCACTTTTGTAATGATGTCATCACTATTGTAATGATGTCCTCACTATTGTAATAATGTCATCACTATTGTAATAATGTCATCACTATTGTAATGATGTCCTCACTATTGTAATGATGTCCTCACTATTGTAATGATGTCCTCACTATTGTAATGATGTCATCACTATTGTAATGATGTCATCACTATTGTAATAATGTCATATCTATTGTAATGATGTCATCACCACTTGTAATAGTGTTCTTTGACCTGATAGGTCAAGTCTTTTGATAACCAATCAGAATGCTGTGTTGTACCACTGGAATTCATCAGAAATTCCTAAAGGCATTCTGCTAACACAGTTCGGAAATGAATTATCAAAGTACAATCTGTTAGAATTGATTTCCACAAAGAGCAGCATGATTTTTTATTTAAAAAACTGGTGCTTAGCAATTTTTGAAAGGTAAACTGAATATGGAATGAAGTACTTACCGCCTTTCACGGTTGTTAACTGGTCATTGTCGAAGCATAGTTTAAGTTATAAAATATTTGGAAAAATGCACATTTTTTTAAACTACCAAGTACTCAGTCACAAAGAATAACCGAGCAAAAGAAAAGAAATTCTAGTGTAAGAAGTGTCTAAGCTGTGTCCAATTTTAATGAAATATTTGTTGTTTTTTACAGATCCAAATAAGCAAGTAAATTAAAATCGCTCTGATGCCGACATCACTCAATATGGGTGAAGAGGACCATGAAATACCAATTAAAGCAGCTTACAATGGGTAAGAAAATTGATCTCCTTTCTTCTGAGTTTCAGTGGACTTTTGTAATGATGAGATACAACATGATGGAATGCTATGTAATGTGATTCATACTAACGCTGTTCGTAATGGAAAACACTGATTGAAATAGTTTGATATATGCATATCTACCGGTACTTCATGTATGCGACTACTGTATTCATAAGCAGAATCTTTAATATAAACACACTTAAACAAAAATTTTATCCAGATTCACTTAATCATTAAAATATATTACTGGAAAATACTAAATTTTAACTGGAATTAATTTTCGCTGAAACGACTTTGTAGGTGTTTTGTGCAGAATTTATTTTCACTGATTTATGACAAGTTGAATGTAAAATATAAGGAAAAAGGTTTATTCGCTGAATTTTGTTTTCCTTCAGCGAAAATAGCAAAAATTAATTCCAAGCGAAAATAAAGTATTTTACAGTAAATAACTCTACTATAGCGTACTCGACTGCGTGAGAGTAAAAGTCTAAACTCGTGTAAAAATACATGTACCATAATAAGAACCATGTCATGGATTCATGTACGTATATCATAAATGTCTTCTAGCTGCTTTAGTAAGAAAATTAAACTCCTGGTGAATGCCTAAACACGGCTGCAATTTGCATAATATTATCTATTTTGTAGTACTGTTAAATACTTTATTTTAGCTGGAATTAATTTTCGCTGAAAAGACTTTTTGGGTATTTTGTATGGAATTTATTTTCAATGATTTCTGATAAGTTAAATATAAAATATAGGAAAAAGGGTATATTCGCTGCATTTTTCGAAAATAGTGAAAATAAAGCATTTTACAGTAATGAACATAATTAACAGGTCCTTTATTGTTTCTTGAAGTGCCTAACCAAATTCCTAAAAGCCTAGGTTTAACACTGATTTGAATTGAATTCATCCAATTAAAGCAACATGTAGGTAGCTAAAGTATGTTATAATAATAATAATGTTAGGTCAAATTCAATAAAATGGCATATATTCATGCTACTTGTAACTCGCACAAAAAATCCCATTAAAAAAACATCATTTACAAATTTTCCTTGCATATATAATGTCTACATTTGTTGTTTTCTTCCGAAGTCCTAATTATTTTCAAAAATGTGCAATTTCAAAACAATTATTGATCTCATTCGCTGTTGATCTAGTAAGCTGCTGTTCTGAGAAGACTGTTGCAATTAGTCTGTGATTTAGATTTACTTGAGTATTTTATCTGAGTGGACACGTACATTAAAGCTGATTGCCGTTTCCCCTGAATGTAATGAGTATAAGCCTCCTTCTCCCACTGCTCTATTCCTTTGATTTTCAATGACATTTCAGATACTGTAGAATATTTTATTTTAGCTGGAATTAATTTTTGCTGAAAAGACTTTTTGGATGATTTGTATATGGAATTTATTTTCACTGAATTTTGACAAGTTGAATGTAGAATATAGGAAAAAGGGTATATTTACTGGATTTTATTAGGCCCGGCCCATTCGAACACAGTCCAAAAACGGAGACTTATGTTTTGACCCTTGTGTGTCTGTGCGTACGTGCGTCCGGACCTGTATCTTAGAAATGACCAATCATAATCAAACTTTACACATACATCATACATGATATTATACATATGCACATCAATTCGTTTCACGATCTGATTCAAGATGGCCGAATGGCAGCCATTTTTGTGCTAACAAATCATCTAAATCAAGCATTTCTCGGCTGTTTACTGATGGATTTTGTTCAAACTTGG